GCTCCGCTGTCAATGAGAGTAATGGAGGAATTTTGTCTTGATTCTTATTTCTAACTGAACACCCAATTACAAAATGACTATTTTCTTCCCAAGTTAACTCATTTATGGCTGCAGATGATATCACCAAGTCTTCTGAATGGCCCTTTGAGCGACTTCTCAAAGATCGTTCTAGTTTTCCAAATCACTCTGTGTTCTCTGTGCCATAACATCGGCCGTATTTAGTTTGAGTGGAGCTCGGTTGGGTTTCATAGGGCAAACTCGAATTGAATGGCCGGATTTTCCACAGTAAAAACAGAGTCCTATTACTCGACATCTATCCTTCTCTTCTTGCGTCAGAGAGCCCTGATGACTTATTCCCAATGCTGATAAGCCCATGGGGTCTTCTACACGAGGATGATTTAGTACCGAATGATTTGAGACATTAGGCTGTAGATATCGGCTGTTGTGATTAGAAACTAGGTTTTCCACAGTGCGTTGTCGGTTTTCCATGTCCTGCAGCCTGGCGATAGCGCTATCTAAATCTAACATATCGATATCCTTTTCATGAACTTAGGCTTTCTTTAGTTCCAAGCTCATGTTATAAAATATAAGGTTTTTCAGGGAGCGCGACTCGAAATCATAACAAGCAATGGAAGCATCTTTGCGTATATCAGTTATCCAATGCGAAAAGGGCCTGTTTCCTGAAAGTTTGAATGGAGTCTATTTGTTACGTCCCTAAACCGGTTAGGGTCGCCAAACAAGGTATCTAAAACCTCAAACATCTGAGCAACCGAAGCAAATAAAACTGAGCCATCTTTAATCCAGGAATTGAGATGTTCTCTGCTGTTAAGTCTCATCTGGGAATATATATATATATGCCATTTTCGTGTGTTCCGTTGGAAAGTGGTCAGCATTTGTGTTCAGTTTGAGAAAAATATATTCCCTCCAGACATAGAAGTCTTCTTTCTTACCAGAGAACGGTTCGTAATCGGCAAGGAGCATTATCTTTTGAGGTCGGGGCTGCAACAGTTCAGCTAAACGAATCAAGGTGTCATTAGAGGAGTCAGATCTCTGTTTAGCTGCTTTGTCCCTAGCTGAATTTCCTAGTTCCTGGACTCGTAGCTGTGATGCAGCAAGCTCCCTAGTAGTAGTCTCTAGAGCAATATTGCGCTGCGTCAAAATCTGGAATGCGTCAAATATTAATTGAGGCTCCTCCTTAAAACCCTCTGCTAGCTGAGATGGTTCCGAAACTTCCGATAAACGTGTAAGTAATTCTTCGAAGGAAACTTTAGCAGTGTCGTTATTCTCGGATGACATGACCCTTCGAGAAGATATAAATGTTGTGGAGCTTTTTGTAATGTCAGGATCGTTGGCTTAGTTCGGAGAACACAGGTCGGAGTCGGGGTATATGGTAAAGTTTATGATAGTCGAATCAATCTAAAGTCTAGAATAATAACAAGACAAAAATTTACAGAACAAATCCAGTCCTAGACCTTCCTTAAGTACTCGAGAGCGGCTACTACAATCAAGTGTATGATAGTCTAGAGCTGTAACAGCAATTGATTACTATGTTGATTAGTGACTGTTGCTATCACAACATTGTAACCAATGCAACGCATTGACTATGTTACTAGGGAAGCTCCTGACTTATTTGACTAGACTAAATGCAGTATCTCAGTATTAGCTTATGGCACAATGATAGTAACAAGCAGGCTGTTTTCCTCTTCGGAACGCCGGTCTGTGACAGGGTATGTGGCACTTCATGTTTCGGCAGCTGTGAGTATATTTTGGTACGCTGTCTGAAATTCATCACAGTACTTCTCGATTGAAGAGGTGAACTTGACTGCGTGAAATTGCTTCAGGGTGTCAATGTATGTGGCCGAGGACGATTCTCTCCTTGACGAGGAGACGCTGTCGTACAGGGCTTTGGCGGACAGTTGAATGTGGTCTCTTGGCCAGACTGTTTCGCTTAGGCGCTCGAGAATGATGTTGCTCGCCTCTACCTCATGGTTTTTCCATGTGAGTACTGCTCTTCGATGAGTACTCCATAGAATGTTCAAGTCGCTGTCACTGATTCCTTCCTCACGGACTGGATCGATTGGTCGAAACACGAGATCGACATCAGGATCGTCGTGAATAAAGTTGCAAGATAGATGACACTTGGCTAGACGAGCCCGGAGTGCTACGTCCCATCGACTGAACGAGTCCGTTTCACCAAGGATGATGAAGGGTGAGCTTCTGTACATTTTATTGTTTTGTGCGTTGGAAAGCGCCGGGTGCATAACCTATTAGGAATTATGAGCATTCGACAGTGGTTAGGAGTGGACTTAGAGACAGTGTAATAATTGATACCACATAGATTACCTGTAATATCGATTATTATACTGTTTCTGATTCCACTCCCAACCACTGTCCAGTGCTCATCATTCGCAATAGTACTCTGGTCACTTTCATAATCATTTATACCAACAGAGATACATGCCAGCCTACTCCAGTGCCGAATTCTTCATCTCGAAGTTTGGTTATTGGAGTAGGTAGAAGCAGAATTAGTCGAAGAGCCGCATCTTGGTTATCTAGATAGATAATTAGGTTGATTGGATAAAAGGCCATGGAATTTTGAAGGGCAGCTGTTTGGCCTTCCGTTGCCCCAGACTTGTTCGCGTCATATATGTGACATCTCGTCCCAGAAAGCCACAAAGATAGATAGAGATTCCCCAGGCATTTCATACTATATTATTTTGGATGACCAGTTGATTTTTATTAGGGGAGGTTTACTGTTAAGCTTTTATCATTAGCTGAGGTTGTACTTTTGGCTTATTAGTTGTTGGCCTGGGGAGCTAAGAACAGTTGTAGATAAGAGGACAGCACACCCAGACTTTTATCATTACCTTTAAATCTTATGCATCTAGAATTTACTTCCGATCCATTCCTAAACTTGATCTCCTAGTTGTCACAACATTCTTCTACTGAGACGCCTGAGGTGATGGTTCCGCGGGTGATCTCGTGGGTAGCACCACGGCGAATTGAGCATTCGGTACCTGCTTGATTCTCGATCAGAGCGCTATCGGGGAAAACATGGAGGTCTAACATGGATTGTTGAGCATACCATTGACCAAAGGAGTCAACTCCCACTGTTCGTCCAAAAGTGCCAAGTGGAGTCGGCGGTTGATATGTTTGTCCGAAACAAACCTATGTCAACATGTGAATTATTTGCTGGTGATGATGACTTTCTTTTCGACCATTTTTTAATTCATTGAATTTTCCTGTCTGAGGTCTTTGACTATGTAGGACATGCAGATCCTCTCTGCTTACAGGCCAAGGATACCTATACCAGTAGGATATCCCCTCCTATGCCTCCTATATAGCTGCCTTCAACAGTACCACCCCTCACAAGTCCTCATTCGATCATACACTTAGAGGAGCCCTTAACCCTTCATCATCTCCCCTCTCCAGCCAACGAAACGATGGCTATTTGCGGGTGTATGGCAGCCGGGAAAAATCGCCAAAACCACCAGGTGCGGTGCTCTCCTAATACCGACATTAGGACCAAATCCGAAGACATATTGTCCCTTCTGAAGCGTTCGAAGAGGCCGGCCAGCTTGGCGCTGCATACTTATGGGTATCTCGGGAATTTACACTCTGCCTTTCTAGTATCCTTACAACTCCTTCCTGAAGGTCGTGCTGAAATGTCAGAAAAGTCTTGACAGAGCGTGATTGCTGTATGGTAGCTTAGCCTAACTTCTTTTGTGCCGTCCAGGGCGCTAGGGAGTGCCGTTGACTCATCGAAAATTGAAGGCCTCCAGGCAAATTAGCCGAAATATAGTTCTTGGCGCCCACAAACGTTCTAAAGTTGAAAATCCCTCGATAATGTCAGTCCCAGCATGGTCTTCAGAGACCTGTTCCGCCTCTCGCTGCAGGTCTCAGCCGCCTTTTCTCCCTCAAGTTGTTTGCTCATCAGAGCAACAGTCCCCCATAAACCAAGACCCAGGCTTTGTATTTTTCGACTTGATTCCCTCCTTGCGGGTATGAATAGCGTCGTAAATATGTAGTGAGAGATGGCTGGAAATGAATGGGGCAAGCTCCTGTATGCAATTGGAGCAACTTCTTTATTGGTCGTCGAGGCGAGATGATGCGTGGTTAGAGAGAGGTTGTGGACTTAGATGAGAATGATAAGAGCGGTATTACCGAGAACTCGTCAAATGGAGATGTGCTTGAAGTTGCTTTCGGATTCGATTCTTCTTAGCTATCCCAGATACGCAGAGCATACTGAGCGATTACACCGGCACCACTGGAAGGTGAAGAATTCGTTTATGCCAGTTTATATTTGACTTTCTTGCGGTTGAGAAATCTTTGTTGACTAATTTTTCGACCAAAATACCGAGTACCACTTCTACAAGCTGACAATCCTTCAAAAACCCTCACTAACCCTTCGTGACTAAATCTCGGTTCTGCGAGAATATTTTTCTACTAGGTTCGTTGAGGATACCATTGTTAGGTGTTCAACCTTCATCATCTGCCGGTGATATGCTCATGCGAAAATCGTAGAATTATTTGCGTGTTCTCCTGAACTGAGCTTCTAGATGTTGTGCGTTGTTGAGATCGTTATTTCCAACTCGGCGACAAATGGAGGACGCAAATGCAGGGTTAGCCTAGGTGTCCAATTCTAATCTTGTGTTCAAAAAATTGATAGTTACTAGGGAATCAGGTTCCTACGCACCATGCTCTCAACACGTCTGTGATATGGAGAATACATTCACATCGGCAACAAAACTGCGTCCGAAAGCAAATCTATCAGCTAAGGCCAGCTTGGAGAAATGATTGCTCGCGACAGTTCTGGGCCGGGCCGTGGATGACCTTGACGAGTCCTGGAACATGAGCCTTCCGTGCACAAATCACTTTAGGGAACTAACACCAGGCTCCATTTAAAATTATCAGGTATTCTCTGTACAACTCGACATCAGAGTCTAACAGCCTTAGTTCAGCTAATTGTGGATAAAGTCATCTTTCGACGAGTGAGGCACATGACAACGCGATCTCGAACATCTGCAATACTCGGCCAGATCCGTGCCATGAGTGAAACGTCTAAGACCATATTTTTTGGGCCCTATGAGGTGACTGATCAGGTACGCGCAAAATTATAACCTTCTGTCAGTCAGGCTCCCATAAAAAACCTTAGTGACTCGCATTAGGTGTTCCACGAGGCATCTCTATGCTATGCCTTGGTCAACATAAAGCCTATACTTCCTGGCCATGTTCTTGTTATTCCATACAGACAAGTTCAACGTTTAACAGACCTCACTGAGGCTGAGGTAACCAACATCTTTACAACCGTGCAAAAAGTACAAAAGATGCTAGCAAAAAGATATTTCTGTGTACATGGACAAGCACATGCAAACCCTGAAGACGGTAGCTTCAACATTGCAATACAGGATGGAAAAGAATCAGGTCAGACTGTGCCACATGTTCATTGTCATGTGATTCCACGACCCAAAGATGACACACTGGGAGACGAGATTTATCAAAAGCTACAAGGGGAAGAGGGAAATGTTGGAGGCGGCTTCTATGACGTCAATCGACCCAAACAGTTTGGTCAATTTCCTCCACATGTCGACGCCAATCGAATACCGCGGACAAAAGAAGAAATGCAGTGTGAAGCCCTAATTTTCAAAAAAGAAATGGCTTCGGAAGAAAAGTAGTAGAATGTAGAAGTTCTAATTTAGTCGAACAATAGTTATCAAGAATAGAGACAAGCTTGGCAAATCTCTATATAAAATGCCCAACTTGCAAGTTATATCTTCTTGTTGAACAAATTGTTGGGCCATTACCTTGTTGATTAATTTTGGTACAATAAAGATTGTTCCTTCTTGAATTGCGGGGTTAGTCTAAATCCTGAATACCAGACTAGATTGACGTCACCCAAAATTCTGCCATATAAATTGTTCCCTTTCTTATCACAAGTCTTACTGGCCATCGCATCAATCATTTCAAAAAGAATCGAGCTCGGAATCAGTTTCCTGGACTAATATAGAATCAATGTCTTCAACTAACGATCTTCTTGTCAATAAAATTTTCGATGTCAAGGGCAAGGTAAGAAATCCAATTAAACACTTAGATTTTATAACCTAGATGCTCTGAAAGAATACTCATCCTTTAAGGTTGCTCTTGTATCAGGGGGTGGAAGTGGAATCGGGCTTATGGCAACCCAAGCCCTTGCCGCCAATGGAGCCAAAGTCTATATTGTTGGTCGAACGGAAGAAAAGCTTGACACAGTTGTGAAGGCACATGGTCAAGAAATTGCCGGAAAAATTCTTCCTATCTCCGCTGACATTACCAATAAAAGCGATATAAGCAAATTAGTTGAAATTATTGAAAGTAAAGAGGGCCATCTTGATATCCTTATTAACAATGCAGGCATTGCTGGCAACTGTCAGGACTCAAGTGCCGAGACTGCGGACGAAATGAAAAAGAATCTTTATGATGATGAGGGGAACTCATTTGAAGATTGGTGCAACACTTACCGAACTAACGTAGCCCAACTTTTCTTCATGACTATGGCGTTTCTTCCATTACTACAAAAGGCAACTGAGTTACAGCACGGTTATTCTGCTACCGTCATCAATATTTCGTCCATATCTGGCATTATTCAATTATCACAAGGTCATTTCAGTTATAACGCTAGCAAAGGCGCTTCCATTCACCTCAATAAAATGTTGGCTTCAGAAATTTCAAGAAATAACTTGAAGGTCAGAGTAAATAGTATAGCTCCTGGAGTTTTTCCCAGCGAAATGACTACGAATGGGAGTGGGCCAGATCAGAAGTCCTACATTGAGAAGGAAAAATATCACATGATTGCTTCTCGCCGACCTGGAAAAGATGAAGATATGGCTAGTGTTGTACTTTTTGCTGCCACAAATCAATATCTTAACGGAGTGACTATTCCTGTTGATGGAGGCTATATCTTACACGCCGGTGCCTAGATAAGAATACAGTCTGCATGCGAATTAGCAGCTGAATCAAAGACTTTCTGTATCTAGTATACAATAATTTGCTAAGTGAACCTGATATGCATTAAAGGATATAAACTTGTCCGAATGGATAGTATAATTTACAGTTTAATTTTGTCGGCTGGCTTCACAAAAGTACACGATCTAAAGTTGAGATTTCACCTTGTAGGTTTCACGGGGTAAAGGGTTGCGATTTATTAGGCGATTCGATACGTCTATATTTTACGTTGGCTATTATTAATGTCCTTTCTGAGACTTTAATAATGTGACATACTGTTTACTTTATATTTTTATTCGGCTAAGATTGTAATGTGAACATAAAAAGTGAACGATATTGATGGGAACTAGTTTCAATACCTGAGAGAGACTATTCTCAACACCTGTCAGTAGTGTCACTTACGAACTTCCAGCTTTCACTGTAGAGTTTGCAGAGCCGAGATTGAGTATCAAAGTCCTCACTCCATAAGTATTGTCAATCACTTCCACGGTCTGTATCATCTTTATCTCTCAACACATTCCCCTACCACCATTATCATGAATTGAACTACGGTCAGATCAGATGGTAGGGTCGGAGCTCTTCCTATCATCAACCCTTTATCATGGAGGAAAGCCATCCGATGAGTTTCCGGAGCGTACCCAGCACCCGATACGGAGATAGTAGATTAGTTTCAGTCAGCCTCAACTGTTACAAAGAAGGGACATATAGATGAGCATGTGCACCTCATGTGCTCTGGTGCCTAAGCATCTCCTGTCCAGTGCTGCAGGTTTTTTGAAACTTATTCCCGCGCACACAGTTTCCTTTGCTACCATTTTTCTTGGGTAGAAGGTTCCATGGAATTGATAGCCGAATTCCACGAGTAAACACTGAGCTGATTGGCTATTCATCACGGGCAATATATCAAAAATCTTACAAGGAACATGAACGGCAAGGAGCACTGAAAAAGGTGTGGCCTAAGTCAAAGAGGAGCCCAATGTGCTAGATAGTCTAAGATTCAAGTAGTACAATAAACATACATGTAAGGATTCTGGATAAATGCCTCAGGCAGCATTTATGGGTTCCTTGTTTAGCACCAATAGGCTTTTTTTTTTAATCATTTAATGTGTATTCAGATACCTAGCTATGACACATGACCGGTACTATGTATACATATTGGATGACTCTTTTGACGTTAGAGACACTCATACTCTGGATTTCACTCGCAAATACCACTACGAGGTATGTTCGCTTACACAAACAGTCGATCCTCCTCCGTAAGTTCCCACCAAAGGGATTTTAAAAACCTTTGGTTAACCAAACATGCCTTCGTCATCCATGTCTACCAGCGCCGCGAGAAAAGTGGTTGTGTTTTGACGGATTGGAACAAGCCATATCCTGTCTCGAGTGGGATATATGTCCAAGCTATCCAGACTCTACTTGGCAGACCGGCCAAGACGATGTACCACAATACCATCCAACCATAGCAGTTTTTATAGTGTCGCCTGCACTCTCGCAAGCGAAGACTTGGCACACACAAAGCTCAATTTGTAAAATTTCCTTGCCAAGATTCAAAGTTCCACGCTCGTCGAGACTGTATCCATCCTCTGCATTATCTTATCAACTTGTCCTCATCCCTCTCACGTCCGTCCCAAAGAACAGTCTCCCAGACTTGTGCGCCACGCTTTGCTTCCTCCGTCGGGTGTAAATATCGGCGTGGGCGTGTACTTGGTGACCGGCCGAGGCCAGAGAAAATCGACGAGAGGTGTGGTCATTGGAATGAGGATGTACTAGGCCGTACTTGTAGACTTGATGAAGCTTGGCCATGAGTTGGACTCTTTGAGAGTAAAAAATTAATGTGGTGGAGTAGTTTGAATTATTGCTTCGTGGGCCAACTTTTTTGGTATTTCTAAATTTGACTGAATTTGGCTCTGGGAGAATATTTCAATTCCAGGTTCGTTGAGGACACCGCGTGCCGATTAACTCAAGCTAGAAAAACTACCCGACGTTCCTAAGATCCCGCCATATACTAACTGGGCCTCGGGCTTCATATCACACAGTTACCGGGGAGATTCGATGTATAGAATGAAGACTCTCATCAAGTGATGTTAATTCAACAGCAGCCGGCAAAGACGAATTATTCACCTTCCAGTGGTGCCGGTGTAATCGCTCAGTTAGATCTGCTTATATGGGATAGCTAGGAAGAATCGCATCCGAATCAAATTCGAAAGCAACCTCAAGCACATCTCCATCTGACGAGTTCTCGGTAATACCGCTCTTATCATTCCCATCTAATTCCTCATCCACTTTCCAATCACTCATCATCTCGCCTCAAAGACCGATAAAGGATTTGGCCCAACTGCATGCGGAAGCTTGCATCAGTAATTACCAGCCATCTCCCACTACAAATTTACGAGGTTACTTGTACTCGCAATGAGAAAATTAAGTCGAAACATACATAGCGTGTGTCCTAGCTTACGGAGAACTGATACTTTATTGGGACAAACAACTCGAGGGAGAATAGGCAGCTGAGATCTGGAGCGAGAGGCGGAACAGGTCTCTGAAGACCTTGCTGGGACTAACATTTTTCGAGTGTTTTCGACTCAAGTGTGTCTGTGGGCGCCGAGGCAACGATTTAGCATAGTGCTACTGACACTCTAAAAATAGGCAACGATGGAAGGTGTTTTGGTCCACCTCCTGGTCGTCATTTCCCGAATATAAGTCTGGGTAGCCTGGAAACCCACTTCACTCGAGAAAGGGAGTACTGTGAGGCCATATCTCGCGCGGCGGCTATATACAAGATGATAAAGATATGCTGGTGTAGACAAAGGTTTTTCTTATTTTCCCTTTGGTGGGTATCAATGATTGAGGGATGGGTGAAAGTCCCTAGCACCAAGGTCTCGAGTGGTATCAGCGAATGCAACCACTACATGAGTAGTCCAAATGTCAAACTAAGTAATCGTCGTACATAGTCTTCGGAGAAGCTAGTCCTCTCCGTGTCATGCTCTTTGAGTGCAAGGCTTGTGCCCGACGCGTATAAATTTTTATTCATTTATTAAAAATCAGCTCTGTAGACAGTTCAGTGTGGGCTCGAGATTTGCAGGGAACATCGCTGACAGGTGTTGAGTTTTTGCCCCTCTCGGCTATGCGGTTTTGTTCGCCAAGGGATATACTGAAGATTTCATCATGTGATATTAAAACAATTAAAGTTGTACAAGGTGATGTCTATCCAAAGATTGTTCGAATATTCTTAATTTAAGAATTTGAAAATGATTCTGCTTTCAGTAGCTTGTTGTGTCGGGTAGAATGTAGCTTTGACAAGGGCTGAATACCATGCGCCCTTAGATACCAAGTCAAGTGTCACCGGCAGTTTTCATCGAATTTGATTAATTTCTTTCTTGAATTTTGCTATTAAACTCAGTGAAAGTGATCCTAATCCCTGCTGACGTGTATGTGATTGAAAACCATCCATGACGAAGTTCAGTACTCCTAGTCTAGCGTCAGCAAGTGTTTACAGGCATCAACATATACGCGTTACTTCACACGCGCTCGATAACTTGAGAATTAACCAATTCTTCTCGATTATGTATTTTTACGTTAGGTTGGCTTGATGCTCCAGATATTCTCACCTCCACGTGTTATTCAATAGTAATTATCTTAATATGAAAATGTACCGCTGTAACGGTGGGGACGGTGATATTGCTCTGGGAGTTAGCATACAGAAAATCGATACGCGCCATTGTATCGCACCACAGAGAGAACCTCTTTCCGTGCGTTTTCAATAAGTCATTTTGCTTAAATCGTATACGTAAGAGTATTACTGATATCAATCCCAGAGTAGTCCAATATCTGAGAGCCATAACATCAAGACTTTGAAGAAAGTGACCAATACAAAAAATATTGTCCAACGGATTAACGAAGACAATACAAACTTTTCTGTAGAGGCCTCTGAAAATCAAGACCTAAAATATAGTGCGGTATTGGCCAGAAAAGCCTTTCAATGCCTGCCGGGGGAAAAAACAGCAGAATCTCTTCAGCTAGTGGAAGAAGATGGTTATAAAGAGAAATCAGCGAATAGTAGCAAAGCAGTTGAAGCTGGCCGCTGTAAATCGCTTCCAATCACAGATGATCTGACACAGAACAGTTCAGTGTCCCCCACACAGGAAAATCCGATATCTGCTTACTTACATCTATTGCCTGAGAGGTCATACGAGCAACTGCTCGTAAATAATAAATCATACACTTATTTAGAAAACTCACAAAGTCCGACTACATGTGCGCTCTTTCCTGACCAAAATATATCTAAGCGACCTGATGATACTCTTCATCTAGAGTTCCACCAATGCGGTTCGAGATATCTGAAATTGGATTCCAAGTCCGAGTCTGAGGATTTAAAAGTAAAAATGAACCAAGAGGCTATCTCTCATGTTGTGGACCAATCGATACTCATAGAGTCTCCACAGCGATTTGAACCTCAAACTCCGGCTTTACAAACAAATCCTTTCCAATTCAAGGGTAGTGTCATGTTGAGAGAAGATTTATTCTTGGCCACCCAGTCCTCATGTGCAAATCGTCATGATAATAGCCCTATTATCTCTCGACCATCGCCAGAAATTTACGAGGATTTTAGCTCTCCTACCAAGCGACAAAGGCTTTCTACTTCGCCCTCAATTGAATTTAATAGAAGTTCTATGTTTACTAAGCCCGGAAAAATCCTACAACAGGAGAACGTTCTCGATCAACACCAGCATGAACTGAGTTGTGCCAAAGGAATACTCTCTGGTGATGTAAATCCAAAAAATTCCAACTCTGAATCCACCCCAACTCATGGGCTACGATATAAAGCACTAGCTAATGAAAACCAAAAAAGAAGGAAAGCAAATTTGGGGGCCTGTACATCCGAAGAGTCTGACACGCAGGTTGAACGTATATCCACGCAACGAATACAAAAAAATAGAAAAAAAACTTTACAAAAGACCTCAAATGTAGAAATGCGTAGATCATTTTCCTCTGATCACTTAGAGCCATTAGAGTCTGCAAAAATCGGAACAACTACTAAAAAATATGCCTTAATTCTCCCTTTAAAACGTAGTGAGCAGTTGGCGACTTGTAGTCCTCGCACGCGTCGCCATTCTAGCTCTCCGGATGACTGTCACACCCTCGTCCAGAATAACAATATTAGATATTCTAGATTCTCACCTGCCGATGCTACATCATTTGAATCAAACATAAAAGAACAGTACGGCACTGGCTCTGAACTCCATAGCCAACGAATTGAGAAGCAAAAAGAGAAACCATATCCCTGCTCAACTCCAAATAAAAATACACAGTCTAGCTTGCCTCCATTACGAGCAGACGTACCAATCAAACCTTTCGATTCTTGTGAATACTTTCCCCCTTCACTCCAAGTTCCCATAATATCCTCAAATCCACACGATTCTCAGATTGCTGCAAATCAGATCCTTCACACCAACTCAGACAACCCAGAGACAGTCCCTGAGACTAGTCCAGTATCGCAACGACACTCTAACATTAATGAGGTAGTAGATATTTCTCTTGAAAAGGCCGAAGTGGTTAGTGATAGTATTCGGGATATGTATAAAGACGTCGGGCTCGACGGCAAATTTGGGCTTGATTCATCTCAAGATCTCTCCAGTCTAGTTCCAAAGAAAGAAAATACCACGGCATCCAATGTTTTATCAAAGACAAATGCTACACCTATATCTCAAGAAACCCTAGCAAAACAAAAGAAAATATTAGCTGCTAAGGATAGTGAGTATTTTGCTGGAGCGGATAAGTTAATGAAGTTTTACAATGGCGCAAAAACGATGATGAAGTCCAGGGCACAGTCTAAAATTGAAGACAATAGTTCATTGGAAGACAAACCTACGTCATCAAGGCTCGGAATTTCTGACAGTCAGAGCCACAATTTAGAAAAAGTATATACAACCACAAGTCAGGGTAGTAGGGAAAATTCCGCAGGCCAAATTGTGATGACTGAGAACCACACTACTGGTCATCAAAAAGTCAAAAAAAATAGATCCCCCGACAAGATAATCGAACAAGAGAAAAAAGCTGATGCTAAGGACACAGCTTGTCGAGGGAATGAATACGATACGACTAATCATGATGTACTTGAAATTTCAAAAGAACCTCCATCAGGACCATTATCTCCTAATCCAAAGGCCAGTCTTCGAGCGAGAAGTGGTAAAAATCGGTCGAGTACCTGGAAACAAACAAGCTTAGGGCCATCTTCGGAGTCAAACAAAAGTAAGGTTCTGGCCTCCACTGTAGGCGCACGACGCTCAACGAAGCAGAAATCGATGGCAACATCGATAAAAGAAATAGTGTCAATTCCCTCAACTCGATTATCAAAGCGTCAATCTGTCTTGTATGCATCAAAAGAGGGTAGCGAAGATCCCCTATCAGTATCTCCACAACAAGCGCAGGGGCTCACCCATAAATCTGGACTTCTTTTTCAATGTATGGCATTTGCCGTATCCTATGTTAGGAATATGAAAGAAAGAGAAGATGTAACAAAATTAATATTAGAAAATGGAGGACACATACTTGAAGATGGGTTTGACTCATTATTTGAGCCAATTTTGGAGGACTGTAATGGGATACACGACGAAAAAATAATACTCTCATCGAACGGAAAATCTCTGAGATTTGCAGCGGTGATTGCTGACGAATACTCTAGAAAGGCTAAATATCTTCAAGCTTTAGCGCTCGGACTGCCTTGTATTTCTGGTCGATGGATTCAAAACTGTGTATCTAAAGCCATAGTCATTGATTGGTCTTTATTCCTTCTCTGTGCCGGTCAATCATCCGTCTTGGGAAATGCATGTCGAAGTCGCACCATGCAATTTTATTCCGCTCCAGATGCTAAACTATCCCAAACACTCGCTGAGCGCAAAAAGATCTTCGAAGGAAAGTCGGTCCTTCTTATTGTGGGTAAGGGAAAAGCTCGAGAGAAGCGGAAGGCCTTTACATTTCTTACGCAAGCATTAGGACCAAACCGAGTGAGGTACGTGTGTGATAATTCAGACGCACGGAAGTTCCTACTTGAAGATGAAGCTCAGGGAAAAACCTGGGATTTATTGCATGTGCATGATAAAGCGAAAAAAGTTGAGGCTGAAATATTTGGAAGTGGTCGAAAACGAAAGAATATTGACGGTAGTGATGATGAAAATACCATCCATTGTCCGCGGAAAGTGCGTGTGATTACTGATGAAATATTTATCCAAAGCCTTATCTTTGGAGACTTGATTGAAGAGTAGACAAGAATTGTAATGACTCCTCAGTCATCAGTATAATAGCCCTACTAGGCAGATAGGTATATTTCAACTTACACTGGCGATAAACCTGGAAAAATAAATTTCAAGACCTCCTTTCAAGTCGGTCATTAATATAATGGCACGTATGACGTAACCCAAAGACTATACTGTTGAGTTACAGTAAGATTAGTCGTACGAAACAAAAATGGAAAGCTGAATTTCAATCTTCCAGCGTCTGAGATCAATCTGATTAATTGGCTCCTTCCTAGGTCAGCGCATAAAAACATTAACGAAACAAACTAAAAAAAGCTGTGCGACAAAGTTCTAGGAAAGATTTATCAAGCGGGAGGATGTATGATTAGAATTTTACCCAAGTTAGCAAGGTTATTACCACTTTCTTTTCCATTATTCGGTAACCTAGGTCGACTAGAGAAGTAGATACGGTAGTTCGAATGCCGGTATGATAATGACTGGAAATAAACTTTAATATGTAATGGCATGGCTTTTAACATCTACTTGATTATGAAACTAGCTTGCCTTAAAAATTATCTTCTCTCAGCCTAAATAAGTTCAGGATACGTAGGTTCTCACTGCCTCTAGATACAGGGCATTTCTGCCTCTTTCACAATTCAGGTCCGTTATTAACACCCTTACAGGCTCTCGATGAAGTATAAACCCGGAGTAGCTGCTACCCAATAAGTACCATTTCATAGTCAAATAGAACCATACCCTAATTGGCGTCTTTGGAAAATTCGAGATTCCAAGAAAATATCAAAAAATTTATGATCGAGACCAAATGCCGCAAGTATGGCTAACTTCAATTCAATTAATGTTACAAATATAAAGAGATGGGGTAGGTTGTGTAAAATGGAGGCCTAGATAGTAATATACTGTAACATGAATACTGTACTACAACAAAGCTCCCAATCTTCAGAACGCTCAAAATGACGGCACTCGTGTGTCTCAAGAATAAATGTGCGTAGAGAATTCTTATTTACCACCGCTATCTTTTATGGACTTGGGAATGGAAATTTCTCCCAAAGTCTAATTTCAGCCAAATCCATATTTCAAAGACGTTAGCTCAAGGTGATAGTTAAATACTCCCAAAAAACTAAATCCCTTATACCAAAATCTCATCTGACCGATCTTGGAGAACACCGTATGATACAAATGGATAGAAAATATCATACTAGAATTACTCAAAGTTCTTGTCTTTCAATCGGGAGGATTATCACGCTTGAGGAAAACGTTAAATTCTCAGTAACATTTCAAAGTGTATTATATTGTGACTTCCGCGGTAAGAGATAGCAAATCCCTCCTGATTTACCCGTGTTAAAACTTGAAAAGTGAATTAATTGTATCCTCTGCTTCTCTGTGGTCCTATGTAGTGATCGAAGTTTAAGCATGTACGTAAATAATATCGCGTTACAAAATATCTGAAACTCGATTACGTGAACTGAGAGTGGATAAAAGGTTTGTGCTCCTTTGATAAGCGAAAGGTGAAAATATTTAAGTCAGGAAGCACTCTTTTCGATATTATCCATAACTATAATTTATGTCTCACAATAAAATAAATACAGCTGAGTTAGAGTCCTACATAGTCATAGACTCAGACAGGACAATAAAATGAATTAATAATAAACAGCTGAGTTAGATTAGAAAAATTTGTAAGATTTTCTGTGGTGACTTGGTTAATCCTTTTTTCCGACTCCCCATCCCTTACCAACTCCATAGGCTAAAGGGGTAGCTCCGCCTAAGCCACCTTTACGCTTTAATCGCTTTGGCAAGACGATGCCAAAGAACCACATGCTGCTAACCACTGCACCTGCAACAGCGCTAGTGAGGCAATAGAAGAATGTACTTGCGTAGAAATGACCACCCATGCCTGCCCATTCGATTTTGCCATTCTCGCGGGGTAGGTGCGGCGTCGGGAACCACCGCACACTTAACATCAATGGTAGTGGATCTCCAATTACAAGTTTCCTAGTAAGAGCCGCAGGCCCAGTGGTATGAGAAAGAGGGGAAGTACTGTACGCCGCACCCGAGTCTATAACACCCGAATCATGATGATGTAGATGATGCTTAGGGGTCGAATGGATGAGAACGTTTAGATGGGTGGAAATATGGAGATGCGATAGTTGCAGGGTGCCAGCAAGTGCGAATATGAGAGGCACATAGTCTGGCCGATATTCGGGCTGCGTAGCATGGACGGCGGGCCGAGAGGGTATTCGACAGGAGAGTGGAGCGTCGTTGTGGATGTAGAACTCGATCAAGTGAAATAATGAGTCTGCGACCATAGGAATTGTACAGTTTAGTTCCTCTTCTATGCCATAGCGTAGTTCGAGAGGTTGACCGGTCTCATTGCAAATTGGAAAGGAAACGTATTCGAGTTCATCCTTTTCGTTAGAGATGTGCTCTCCAGTTTCGCTATCGTACTGTCAGCAAAGAAATGAGAATATGGCTTAAGATTCCATACGTTGATCGATTCAAACAGCTGACTGGTACTTTGGCTCCGTAATGATAGCTTGGCAATGGTATCTTGTTATGATCCTCTGCCATTACGCTTCCAGATAGGACAGTCGCGAACATGATGAAGATCCATGAGCCCAGCCATCTCGCACTCACCATCTTAATCGTAATTAATCGCCAATTGTGCGTCAGGAACTTGTGGCGTACATCATACAAATGTCGGGCCTGTAATTAGCTTCTGTTAGCTAAGTATCGACTATGCTTTAAATTCTTATTAATATCTATCTTCTGCCAATGAAGTGCGCGTAATTACGGCACGTGATATGATACGGCGCCCATTCAACGAGCCGATGATCTGGTCTAGATGCGATAGACTCAAGAATTCCGCACATGAGGCGTGATGTAGTCCGCTAACCCAAGACTACTGATAACACTTAAAGTCAAGCCTCACTAATTTTCCATGCGAAATGCTGAGAAAACTCTTTAGGCGCGTTCTTCTGAATGATTGAACTATTTGGCGAATTTTTTTTAGGCACCCTCTTGGCTAGTCGGTAACAACCGCTAATTTTTTTAATTTTTTTGCAACAGATTTTAATTGCGTATGCAGCTATCTAGCTATGACACGATACCGGAGAAGAGTACATATTAGATGACTCATTTAACTAGAGCACTCGTGCCTCAGATTTCGTTTGCAAGTACCACTGCGAGGTTATGGCGACTTTTTCTTCACCCCAAGTCAACCCTCATCCGTGAATAACCACCTAAAAACCCTGAGTTATCAAGACATGCCTCCATCATCCATTAACTTTTCTCGGTGCGAAATGTGGTACAGGTGTTTCCTTCCTAAGTGGAGTAGGTACCCAGGCTACAACTGCTAACTTTTTTTTTTAAATCATTTAAGTGTATTCAGCTATATAGCTATGACACATGACCGGTGCTATGTATACATGTTGGATCAACCGCTAACTAACGGCGCCCTGTAACGTCAAGATTTTATCGTGATGCTTACACTCGAGAAGTTCACTCGGCGCACTCGAAATATATCACGCGTTAGGATGTCAGGTTATTTTTTATACTGAATATAACCTGAGTGTCCCTTAACGGATAACTTGGTATTATTCCCACCTTAATAGATGGAGACACAACTAAGCCTCATTGGAAGGCAAGACTGAACACCTGTACGCGGTGTCCTCTATGAACCTGGAATTGAAATATTCTCCCAGAGCCAAGTTCAGTCAAATTTCGCAATACCAAAGAAGTTGGCCCACGAAGCAATAATTCAAACTACTCCACCACATCAAATTTTTACTCCCAAAGAGTCTAACTCATGGCCAAGCTTCATCAAGTCTACAAGTACGACCTAGTACATCCTCATTCCAATGACCACACCTCTCGTCAACTTTCTCTGGCCTCAGTTGACCACCAAATACACGCCCACACCGATATTTATATCCGAAGGAGGAAGCAAAGCGTGGAGCACAAATCTGGGAGACTGTTCTTTGGGATGGAAGTGAGAGGGATCAGGACAAGTTCACAAGATGATGCAAAGGAAGGGTACAAACTCGACGGGCATGTCATCTTGAATTTTGGCAAGGAGTTTTACGAATTGAGCTTTGTGCGCGCCAAGACTTCGCTTGCGAGAGTACAGCTAACACTATAAACACAAGTCAACGATGGAAGGTATTGTGATCCGCCTCCTGGTGGTGTTCTCTGGTATAGTCTGAGTAGCCTGGGCACCTACTTCACTTGGGAAAGAGACACCTAAGACCACATTTCGCGCGGAGAAAAGTTAATGGATGATGGAGGCATGTCTTGATAACTCAGGGTTTTTAGGTGGTTATTCACGGATGAGGGTTGACTTGGGGTGAAGAAAAAGTCGCCATAACCTCGCAGTGGTACTTGCAAACGAAATCTGAGGCACGAGTGCTCTAGTTAAATGAGTCATCTAATATGTACTCTTCTCCGGTATCGTGTCATAGCTAGATAGCTGCATACGCAATTAAAATCTGTCGCAAAAAAAGAATCAGGAATCAATGCCACAAGAAACACAAATGGATATGCAAAGAATTTATGATGAAATCAGAAGAAAAGATTTAGAATACAGGGGATGATGTGAGGATTTTACAGTCTCAGATGAACAAATTAATGTTGATCATGCAGAGACGGTCGCAGGAAGATGACCTGGTACCCCTCGAGTCAGGGAGACCTAATCCTGATCTTACATCAGAACAAAGAAGGTCATTAATCACGGAAACACCATTGAAATAGCCAGAATTCTACAAGCACAAGAATAGAAGCAAATGATCACATGGAATCTCCAAATACATATAACAGCGTGATATTGTGGAGCGCGACAAACTTGAACCGTTAGATTTTTTGGTGCAGTTACCAGGACTGATAAGGATATAATGATAATCAATTTATATCTCATTTGAGTTTAAAGCTATGTGAGACAGACTATTTAAATAAAACTTTTATTTTTCTTCTAATTGGAGGCTGCTAAGGATATGATCACTGCCCAATCCCAGGATACGCTCGCCAGTAACGCGGTATGGGATGCCCTTGTTACAGGCTATTGCCTTGTAGATGGGATCCGGAGTTTATCCGGCTCCTAGGAGTTGATTATGTCAGCGATAAGCGAGACAACATCTAGGGGGTGATCCCACTAGTATGTAGTTTTTCTCTTTAGACACAAAATAAACCCATTTTGGATACACTCGTGCGGACAGCTATTCACTCTGGTGCCATCCTTTCACAGCCCTAGGGCCATAGATTATGCCTTTCTCTACAGGAACGAAGAAAATTCCGCGGACGCGGTATTCCATGCATGGCGACAACTTAGAGATGAGAACTTATCCTTTTATCTTTCTGTAAGGATTCTGAAGTTTCACTTTGGCGGGTACTTTCGGAGGAGGGTCGACTCTTTGTGTCAGCAAACATGCCTCATGGTGATATTTTCAAATGAAATCCAGAGTATGAATGTCCTTAAATTCAAAAGAGTCATCCTGCATGTATACATAGCACCGGTCATATGCGTCAAGGGGAACTATTTCAAATACTCTTGTAAACTAAGCTAGTCAGGTCACATGACCTGACTATCAGTATGCTGTTGTTTTATTAAAGTCCTAAGCTCGCTATCCTCTTCTTTGGAGCCGAGACATGGTATTCCAAAAGTACCCCACAGGATATAATAAGGCGTGTTCAGTGCAGAACTAATGATTCTGCTAGAGCCGTCCTTCCTGTCTACCGAACGACTCCGACTCCTGCCCTTCTTCGAGAGACCGGATGGGGGGAATGCCTACTGTATAATCTATATATTTTGGAGGTAACCGAAATTTAATGTTCTATGATTCTGATCTGGCCTTTTGGCCGAGTGGTTATCCACCATTCTCATGCATAATGTAGGATAGCAACATCGTGCCTAGTGATCTTGTCTCGATCCTGGTGTCTGCTCTGCTGTCCACATGCTGTGTCTGATACCAAATGGGGGACGGCTAGCTTATGGCTAGAACGGATACACGACCGCCTCACAGTGCGAGTCGCGTCAGCAGACCAACATCACCCTTTACGGCGGTGCTGGACTTCCTCCCGAATGTTGTGGATCCGACAAAGAACATCTCCCGAACTATGAACTGATACAGTACCACCCCCATGGAATACCAGTCGAGAGTTACTTCAACAAAATATCGGGAATATAGGCAGAAAAAATGGCCGGAAAGAATTCATGAGTTGGCAAGCATCTCAACCCCCTTTGGATCTATTCGTCTTCTCTGACGGTGCCCTTTCAGAGGGTAGAGCCGGGTCCGGATACGTTATCTATCGGGGCCTCACACATATAGTTGGGCAGGGAACCCTTCCTCTCGGAGAATCTGCTGAAGTGTACGATGCAGAAATAGCCGGGGCTACTGAAGGCCTAAGTGCCGCTCTCCATAATTTGATGGCTTGATATGCCACAAATATTACGGTTTGCCTTGATAATCAGGAAGCCGCCCTTCATCTCCTTGTAAATGCTCCTTCCCCTAGCAGTTCCTCTCGTATTGCTTACTTTCAGTACCTTGCTACCAAATGGACAGAGAGAGAACGTAGCCACTTTTCTGAACCAGGTGTAGTCAGGGTGCGATAGTATCCAGGACATATCGGCATACCGGGCAATGAAGCTGCAGACGCACTTGCTAAACAAGCATGCGCAACCCCTTCGCTCCCCTATCTCCAACAATCTCACGAGCAAAGAGAGACATAATCTCTCGATACAAAGCCTCTGTATCCCTGTACTGGTCCCAAAACGCTCCTGAACGATACCAAAAACTGGGAATTAACGCCAATATTGGGAGCTCCCCCAAACTCAAGGGCCTTAACCGCTACGCTCTTAGTCGCCTTCTTGCAGCTCGTTCAGGCCATGGAGACTTTGCTGACTACCACCGCCGCTTTCAGCACTCAGACGCTCTTATCATCTGCGCTTGCGGGCTAGAAAAGTCTCCCGGGCACTTCTTCTTGTGTCGACTCAATCGGAGTTGGTCCCGCCTTTGCAGCGGAAATAAACACCCAATGTCAGGAACTGAGGATAGAGGTTACTGGGATACAATTGTTGCCATGGGTTACGAATTGAGTAATCGAGTAGTAGAAGGTGGACTCTATGAGACCTAGGTTGCTCCGGTTACTATGATGTATATATGGATTAGACAGAGCCGCAGTAGGGGGCCACGTCTTGTTTTCCGCCTTCCACCGGCCTTGTCTCCGATCCTAGATTCCCTTGTCCCTCGTCCTTAGTGTTGGAAATTCAGACTCTATGTGTCTGTTTCCCATGATTGGAACAACTAAGATTCTCACACATGACTCACGACCTAGATGATTGATATCTCCCTTACTGAGCATGTTTGATGCTTGAGACTCGACTAGTGCATGGTATGGTCTGATACACGTGTAGGCTTTCATCCACCGACCCTGACCCCATACTCATATTGTATACTGTCGTGCGTTTCATTGTCATTGTTAGAGTATGGAACGAGTGATGGATGGTATCTAGTCTGGATTTGGTCTATCAAGATTACATGTATATAAGCTGTCTAAGAATTACTAAGACAGATAATAAAATCAAATCAATTTATTCAAACCATCTTTTATTTCTCCACAGTTTATCACATATTCTCCCGATTCATATC